GTATGTGTTGGGGATAAAAAGAGCGCTATCTCTTCATGACCTGCTGAGTGTTGGAATAATATCCCTTCTATCCTTTACATAATCTTTATATAACTCTTAGTCTCCTTTCTTTACTGCTTTGCAGAAAGTTCTCTGGGCATCCCTAGAGTGTGCCAGTTATAGGGCCAGTAATTTATGGAGGCATAGGAGTCCAGGGGCTTGATCAAGCACCCACTGAGGGGCAGGGTAAGACTCTCCTCGTGGCTTTGATAGAAGCTCCATGGTAGAAGCTTGACTGGTTCGTGAAAGAGTCCTTTGTGAATAGTCTAGTTCAAGTCCTTTGTGAATAGTTCAGTTCCAGCACGATCAGAAGTCACTGATAATCCCAGTGTCAGCATAAACTCTTTTAAACCGGTTTCGGTATCTTCAGCTGTGACTTCTACTGCAAGTAATGGCTTGATGTATTGGGTTGCAGTTTGTAGATTATAACAGAAGCTTTATTTTGTGTCACGGTGGTAATTAAGTTATTCCTACGTACCTCTTCATTATATGATTTTACAGATTATGTATCTGCAGACATTTAGGCAATATTGCGAGCAGGCTAACTCCCACATTAGCTCCAAGGAGCAACACGGAATCATTATTAAATTAATATTTGATGTTTCTATTGTTGAGGGATTCAAACTGCCACCTAGTACTCCTAGCCTTAAAAATGTGTTCTCATTTTAATCATTAAACCAGTACTAAATATTGCTTATCTAACTGAAAAACATTTGTTTACCATTTCATTTAAAAAAAAAAAAAATCTGTCTGCTAATGTAATTCTTAATGTACTATGTATATGTCTGTGTCAGTATATTAATACCAAATGTTATGAGCGGTATTTACATAAATGCTTGTGTTTAAAAAAAACAAAACAAAACAACAAAACCCAAAAAAAAACCAACAAAAAAAAGCCAACCCATAACATTCCTTTTCCTCTGGAATTGCTCTTCCTAGGGAATACAGTTTCTGATAGAAAATGACCTCCTGCAGAACACCGCAGAAGACATTGCACAGTTCCTTTATAAAGGAGAAGGATTAAATAAAACGGTAATTGGAGATTACCTCGGTGAAAGGTAAAATAAAAATATAGAAACTTTGTTCTTGAGTTTACAGAGCATACTTGTGGCTTTTGGTCATTACCTTCCCCTTCACAGGCTGCATGAGAGTGCTACTTTACAACTCTGAGATCTATAAAAGCTACAGCGGGAAGTAAAACTACTATGGTATTGTGATAGGGTTTTTTGGGGTTTTTTTCTTCTTGTTAGGTTGTTCTTTTAAAATGGGTACATTGTGGAAAAATATTTAATTCATTGTAACTTACTATTTTGAGAAAATACCCTTAAATTTGGCTATAGTGCAGAATTTAATACCATAAGCTTTTGGAATGTCTGAGAGTTGTATTGCAACAGTTCCGGTATCTCTTGGTACTATGCCCAGACAAGGAGTGATTTACAATCACTAATAATTGGATAGTAAAGAAATTACTTGCTAAAATGGCTAGTTCCTGGGACAATAGTTATAAGCAGGTTTTAGTGTTTTCTTCTTCCCTGAACACAGACTTCCCATAAGTAAGTAGGCGTCTCAAAGGGCAGCCGCACTGTATCTTTATCAATCCTAGTGCAATAAACATGCAACATACGTATTTATGCGTACTATTGCAAAACGCAATCAAAATGCAAATTATTTCTATTGCTGTGCAACCCAGGAATTGATTTTGAAAAAGGCAACAGAAAGAGACAGAAGGGAAGAGCAGGCTGCAGTACGTGTATGTACGTGCTTGCACACGTTCCGGTTCAGATGCTAGTTGGTGGAGGTTTGAAAGTTGACTCATGTAGGATATACTCCTGTAGTGATATGTTCTGGCAGATCCCTTTTGCAGCACCCATAATCTGTTTACAGCATCAACGGCTTAGTTTGTGCTCAGCAATTTCTTCCTGACTTTAATAGGCTTAATGAAAGTTTTCACTGTAATATGTGTATTTTGGAAATAGATGTTCACTGTGAAGTTTCTGTACAACATACGTAGACATTTCAACAACTTTTGTATGACAGCATTACGTTGTTTCTCTTGAATATTTGGGCAATCAGTATTGTTAAAATCACTTATATGTTAATGTCTGTAATTGCAAAACTGTAACAAAGCTTGTATAAAGCAGTCAATGTTCATTTTTGAGAGCCACATTCTACCTTGGTATTGTCTTCTGAAATACTTCCAGTTTTCTAGTCCTATTCCCAGAACCCCTGTATTCATGCAGAAAGGTCTTACCAATATGTCCAGGCCCACTGGAGTCATCAGTAATATTTGTGTGACTATTTATGGGTTCACATTTAAAATTAAAAAATTTATTCGTCATTCTTTTGCATCCCTGGCAGGGATACTGCTGGGCAGCACTGTGGTCTAATCTGAAAATACAGGGCAACCTTTCTTAAGAGTGAATATGTATACCGATAAACATGCAGTTCAATTATATCTTCTGAATTTTTCAAGACTTAAATACAGATGAATGTAGTGGTCATACTGAATAGGAAATTTGGTCAGGAAATTTTGGATAAATCTATCAACTGGGTAATAAAATCTTAGGAGAATTGAAAAAAATTAACATACTGCTCCTATTTTTGCCAAAAGGCAGAAGCAACCTATCAATTTTAAGGAGCATTTGAAGTCAAAACGAAATTTAAAATTATTTTTTGCTTTAAAAGGAGCTTTTATTCAATGTTTCTTAGTTTCTGTGAAGGGTGTAATATTAATATGGTAATGGGAAAGCAAAACCGGTATTTCTGTCCTATTTTTTTTCTTCACTTATATGAATTAGTAAGGCGGGTGGAGGTGAAGAGATGACAATCTGATTTTCAGGAATGTGTATGGACATTTCAAGGTAGTCAGGTCTGGAATGGGGAATTGGTTCATCATACTCCTTTGAACTCTGCAACATTAATTTCCTACAATCCTAATAATTTTTAATCATGTTCCTCTGAAAACAGTGTATTAGGCCTTTAGGTCCTGGGATGAAATAAATACCCTGGGATAAAATAAAATGTGACAGTTGAGGTAGTCTTAAGCTGCTAGTTTTGCTTTTTTGACTACCTCAGAAACAGGCTATTAAATAATATGTGCTATGCAAACGGCACTGCGTATTATAGATGAGTTTTTGTTATGTACTATCTTTTATCAAGGCATTTGGAGTCTGAGGACATTCTCTTTTACTTTGCCACTCCTTCTCTGGGGCCCATCATGAATTACTTCTGCATTCTAGCTAAATATAGCTGAAGACGAGACCAGGACAGTCAACAGAATGAAATATTTTTATAATGTTCTGCCATAAAGAGATATATTTTAAATTACTGACTTTTATAGTGTTACAGCACTCAGCAAACTGAAAAAAGTGAACGGTAAAATGGAACGAGATAATACCTAAAAATGTACAGTAAATAAGGGATGAATTGCATCCTATAAATGATTTAAGATTTCTTTACATGTGGGTAAGTTTTCACTTATTTTTTTTAAGTGGCTTCCTAGACCTTTCATGATATTTGGCTTGTGTCTTTGGAACCGTACCCAGCACAAGTATCACTATTAATCCAGTCTACATTAAAACCTAGAAGAGCAAAAAGGAGAATATAAGGCTAATATTTGTTCTGAATTACTGCAGCTTTACAGGCATTTAAGCAAAATCAATATTTGGCGTAGAGTAATAAAGTACCTCTGAGTGCTCTCTTTTATTATACTATTACACCACTTTATTTACTGCACTGAAAAGTAGTCATGCAGTTGAACTGTGTGTTACTAAATATGATGTGTTTTTCTGTAAACAATACGGGGACATCCTAATGAATGAATAGTTCGGTTTACGGCATTTACTCATGAGTGTTACAGGTTAGTCTGACTATGCAGTTAGTAACGCAACAGATAATTCTTGGTGGGTGCACACCTTTCTATTTTCGGGTGGAGGCTGATATGCAACATTCTGTCTTGGTGATGTATTTAAAGCACACCCTGAGGATTATAAACCTTTATTTATTTTCTGGCATATGAACTCGGTGATGGTATGGACTAAATTCTGTCTGCATCCAAATAGTTCTGTGTTCATTGATGTTTAAATGTTACTTTTGCATTTAAACACCTTTGTCTCAAGCAAAGCAAAATTTGGCTCATGTTTTACATAGCAATATAAGAGATAGGTGAGAGGAAGCCCATTCAAAACCCGTTCTGATTTTAGTAAACTTTCACTGTAATAATTTTTGAGAATGGAGTAAGAATATGCTATGTACTACGTAGGTCTTTTAAAAAGCTCTTCTTTTTCTTAGGTACAATTGATTGAAGCATTTCTGTTCCTCATCTTTGTACATAAATTAATACACTGCTTTAATAATTTCTGTTCTTAGAGGAAAAAATGGAATAGTTTGTTTTTCATGTGTTGTATAGCTAGAGAAATTAATTTTGCGTTAACTGTTGTTTTATGAGTTCTTGACACAGTTTCTGCAAAAGACTTTTTGCTGGATAAATTTATCAGGTATCATCCTATATCAAGGGAGGTGCAGTAATAATAAATGTGAAGCAAAGAAGGCCAGGCCATTTTTGGGTCATTTAAATAAGCAGTGTTAAAATCAGTTAAGTGTACTGGCTCTTGCTAACCTACCTTTTTAACACCATCAAAAATGAGCAAAATACTAGTGTTAAATATTAGAATACCTCTCAAACAAATGTGTAAACTATTTCTGATGACTTGATTTGATCAGTATGATCATTTACTTCCTTGCTTATTCTCGGAAGCAAATAGAGATAACTAACAAGCCTTTAAAGGTCAGAATTGTAATTGTCGATTTCTATTTTTGTCTTTCATAGAGATGAATTTAATATTAAAGTTCTTCAGGCTTTTGTTGAACTCCATGAGTTCGCTGATCTCAATCTTGTACAAGCCTTAAGGTGAGTAAATTCTTTCTCTTTCTTGACCTGAGCTTCCTTTATCAAGTTGCACATTCATATGAGTCACTGTGTTGATTGATTTGTCAGAAAGCTGATCTGCAGCTCAGCACGATTATACGCATTACTGTGCAAGTTAGCAGAGACAGCTCTGTTTTAACCCTTCCAATTGCTTGTGTGTGTCCTGTGTTTGGAGGTGAAAACTTTTAATTATTTGAGACAAATACAAACAACTAAAACACAGCTGTAACTCTTTGGTGTGCCTGCCGAATGTGGACATTTGAAGATCTGTTTTATGTCTTAGCACAGAGATAGGTAAAAACCAAACCCAAGCAAATAAATACTTTTCTTTGCTGCAGTCATCTTTTTGTTTCCTTCCACCTCAACTTGTTCCTCTAGGCAAGGAGGGGGGGAATCCTGATGACCATAATCAGTGATTATGTTCAATGGCTGAGGTAAACTTTGAATCAAGTAATTTCTACTTTTCTAATTTTCTACTTGCCTCAGAGTTTCCCACTTGTCACATGAAAGAAAGTGTAATACCTTAGTGTACTTTTTCCCCTTGCTGAGTGAAGGGTTTACTTGATTTTTCTGGGATGCCAGCATACAGTGACCTTGTGAAGTCCCTTCTTGTCTTGGTGGAAATCCATAACAGATGTAGCAAATTAAGTTGATTTAGACAGTCCTTCCAGTTTTGTTGCCACAAGTGACTCCCTCCTGACACCAGATAAATTGAAATGTCCATGTGATCTTTGTCTCTGGTGCAGTCCCTCGTGATGTGGAGTCAGAACAGCTTTGCTGTGGTTGAACGATGTGGTGATGATAACTTGAGCTTCCTGAGGCTTGAGCTAAGGAAGCCTTCTCTCTGGCTGCTGAAGCTTGTTCTGGGAGGCATCATATTCCTATCTCTTTTACCCAAGTTAACGTTAGGTTTGACTTTATTCTTCCTTAGCAGCTACTACTATTAAATGTTTGTATTTTGGTAGCTTACAAATTCGTGATCTGGGTTGGAACCTTGCATGAGGTGAGTAAAAGACAGCATATAGAGCTGACAAATTAAAGATGGCCTGCGACACTTTAATATAATGTCCTAAAATGAAAAACTGATGAAGACAGGAATAAATGGTTATTATATTGGCACCCAGCGTACAGGCAATATCAAGAACTTGTTTTGCATGGCAGAGCATGTAACTTTGCTGGTTCAGATCCTGTTTTCATTTAGATGATTCTTTTGCTAAGAAAGAAAAGAATAAGTGATTAAATTAATTGGAGCTTTCTAGCGCCACAGTGTGCCAAATTTGAAGACTTCTGTCCTGTATGCATTCCAGCGTACCTATATGTAGCAATAGTAAGCTATGAATGTAAAAACTCTTATTTCACTTAATGCTGCTGAATGGGAGCACAGATCTCCTGCGTATATTACAAAATGACTGAGGTGATATCATGATGTCTTTATTTTTAAGATCTGGGTCTGATTCTTGAAAGGTGAACTTACACTGGACAGGCAGCACCTCTCTTAAGCACTGGGGTTTTTCTTGTTGTTGTTACTATTCTTTTAAATGTTTGAGGAGTTCAAGTACAGATGTTAAGTGGTTTTGTATCCCTTGCTTCTCTCCCCTACCAGAAATATTTTATGTGATGTTTCTTTTTACGTTTTAAGTAAAGTCTAGCTGAGTGTTTATTGCTTTTAGTAGCCAGGAAATCCAGGGAGGATTGAATTGATTGTTTACCCATAGCATTCTCATGGCAAAAATGGGATGCATACAGAAAATTGTTTACTAGTCTGGAAAAAAGAGAGAGTCTCAGAATATGAACTGCCATATTATCTTGCCTGATAGCATGCAGTGTTGCTGGCTGAATTACTGGGCTAGCCATCTGTGCATGTTGCTTTATAATAGCTCCTGACTTGTGTGTTGAGAGATTGAGAACATATTTTTAGGACATTTTGTATAGACATTGCTGATTTTTTTTGTTTTGTTTGGTTTCTGATTATTAGTAATATAAGCTTAATATATAAATAGTGGAATGAGTCTAACAACTATTCTTCCCTTCTGTAGGCAGTTTCTGTGGAGCTTCAGACTCCCAGGAGAGGCTCAAAAAATTGATCGTATGATGGAAGCTTTTGCTTCACGCTATTGCCTTTGTAACCCAGGAGTCTTCCAGTCTACAGGTTAGTCACAGGACACAATAGGAGTTCTTAAGTATATGTATGTATTTTGGATCATATATGTTCTTCTACATCTGAATCAAGGAGATGATGGCTAGTTAGGAAGTTCAGGATGAAATAATGAGTGAAATGAAAAATTTCTAAGAAGTGAGAAAATACAACTGTCTAATCCTACACTTTGTTTCTAGGAGGTGCAAGCTTATGGTCAGAATACATTTCCATTTATGAAACTTTAGCATTAATGTATATCTAAGCCAATTAAAGTATAAAACACACTTTAGAAATGTCACCAAATATTTTGGCTAGGAATTGGAAAAGTAAGATTCTCAGGGGCTCAAAGGCAGAAGAGACCAATAGGTTGGGTAGTCTTGTCTGTCAATTATAAGGACTTTACACCTGATTATCTCTGTATCAAGTCCACCTATACATTGCTATAGTATATTATCTAGAAAGTAATCCATTTTTGGTATGAGGACTGTATCCTTTCTCTTTAGCAGTCTGTACAGCAATAATTTATTTCAGTTAGAAATGCACCTCAGTTTTCTGTTGAATTACTTGGTTTAGAATTACTCAAGTCATAAAAGCTAACAAAACTTTGTGATAATGCCCTAGCATTCTGACATTGTTGGTCTGTTTAGTTAGATACAAACATAGCTTGCTGTTGATCACAGTCTGAGGAACAAATAGGCTAGGAAAAAGTTGATGTAAAGCAGGTCTGCTACAGCTAGAGAGGAAAATACTTACTGAAAACAAAATGCTGAAGATGCAAACACATTCTTCCTCTATGTAGCACAGAGGTTTCCATCCTACTTTTTCTTACACAGGATCTTGTACTTGAATTCTGGGAGAATTTACTGTAATCATAACAATGTCAAGAGGCATGATAAGATCTCCTTTGTCATCTTTTGATATTATTCAGTGGTGCTAGCTACCTCACGTATGCCAAGACATTGAGTCAATGTAATTTTCAGTCTGTTTAAATGCAGTTTAAATATTATTTTGAAGAGACTGTTCTTTCTCTTTGGAGAAAGCTTTGGAAGTACTTTGAGTAGGAGTCTGACCAAGTCTATTATAGGATCTACCAATATGATCTAGGCAAAATCTGTATGCAGAGAACATTTTTCCCAACAACACTTTAGTGTTTCAAGCAAAATGTTAATTTAGGGTGTTAGCAATGATTTCAGAGAGTTTAAAAACATTTTTGGATTCTCTTGTACTGTTTTTCTCGTACTGGCTTTTAATTTGAATTGTTACATATTTTTTTTTTGCTTCTTAGGCTTGCTTCAATAGTTCAAAGAAAGATTAGACTTTGCTTTCACGTATGGTGTTCAGGATTTTTTGGCTACCTGTTTCTTTTTCTTTATCAGTCAGGATGAGTTAATATATTAATATTATAGGTTTCTGCTGCAACACAGAGAGAGAGAAATAATTTTTCAAATCTTATTTCAGATACATGCTATGTGCTGTCATTTGCGATCATTATGTTAAATACCAGTCTGCACAACCACAATGTAAGAGATAAACCAACAGTAGAGAGGTTTATTTCAATGAATCGTGGAATTAATGAAGGCGGAGACCTTCCAGAAGAATTGCTACGGGTAAGTTAGACTGGGTAAGACAAGGCATTGCTTTGTTTTTAATAGCAAACTTAGAAGCATATACAACAGTTCTTCGGCAGATTTGTTGAGGGAAATTAAGAAGAACATTTTCTAGCATGCATAACCATTTGAGTAGCTGAAAGAAAAATTCACAGCTGCTTTGAGCTAGTTCTCCCTATATTCAATCTTTTGTTAAGGAGAGGAGATTTCCAGAGAAAACACTCTGTATATCTCTTAGTAGTTTGCTGATGGCAAAATTCTTGTGGAACTGGCTTCTTCTGAAAAAAAAGTAGTATTTCTGGGTAAGTCAGAGGAAGACAGAAAAAATAGTAAAAATCATTGTTTCATTATTGCCTCTCATTTCTTTCCATGTGTCTTGTGGAGCGTCCTCCCGTCTCTTGAGATTAAAAATACTTATTTCTCTAAGATAGTGTGATGGTCTAAACCGTTTTCTGAAAGACCCAGATTCATTTGACAAAACTTGCATTGAATGAGACCTGAAACTGAAACCTTTGAAATACTGAATGCTGAAGAAAAAAAGCCTTTGCTAGGAGTGCTTATAAAATCTGTAAAAAAAGAGAGACACTTGTCTATAGATGTAGTTTAAAATCAAAATTAATCAAATTAGCAAACAGCGACTGAGAAGGGTTGGTCCAGAATTTTGTGGACTGTATTTCCTATGCTTTTTATACAAATAGTCTGAGAAGCAGTAGGATGTCCTGGTTGCATTTTCTGTTAGAAATTTATTAATGAGGTCTTTTTCCTCTTTTTTTATTCTTCTAGAATTTATATGAAAGTATTAAGAATGAGCCGTTTAAAATTCCAGAGGATGATGGAAATGATCTAACGCATACATTTTTTAATCCAGATAGAGAAGGTTGGCTGCTGAAATTAGGTTAGTTATAAGGGCAGTTTTGCTGCTATATGTTTGTTCATTGTTAGCATGTTTGCTGCTCCTGTGTCTACCTGCTTTCTTGTGAAGGTAATAGGATTAACTTTGTATTTAAAAATGTATGAACCAATAAGTAACTCCTTTACATCTGAAGGTTGTTACTTATTATTTTACATCTCCAAATCAGCAATCTTGTGTCAAACTTTGGAGTTTTATTTCTGATAGCTGAGAAATAAAAACTCGGCGACAAAAAGCAAATGCCATGTGGTATTTACATGCTGTGACTGATAAATAACAACTAAGTCTCCATACGGTCATTTCAGAAAACTGTGTGATATTTCAGCTCAGTTTTCTGTGTACCAAAAAAAAAAAAAAAGGATTTCTCTTCAAATAGTTATTTTTGTATGTCTTTATTTTTCCATATTATTTGTGAGTTTCTCTTGGTTTGGTTTTGGCTATGATTTTTTAATGAGTGGTTTAAATGTGCCTTCTTGTTTTCCTTATGGCCTATGACCTATCACCTTTCTGTTCTGTGACTGGCTGTCTCTGCTTATTCTGCATTAGGAGGTACGTATCTGATTGCTTTCCAGTCCCCTCTTCTTCAGTTGCTCATTCTTTTATTTTCTTCCTCCTTCCTCCTGGTTTTTTTTTCTTTTCTTTTTTTTTTTTTAAAATCAAGTTTATTGTAGCATTTTGCTTTTTCACTCAGTGTCACTAACGGTATCATCAGTGGTACTCTGAAAGACTGGCATGTCAGTGTCTAGCTCACATGCGAGTGTCTTCTGCAAAAGAAGAAAGTGCTTACATGTAAAGCAGAAAAAAAAGATGGCTATTCAGCATACTTTTCTCGTTCACTGAAGACTGTAACAAGGGAAGAATAATTTCTACTGAGAGAAAACGTCTTACTCTTGTAATGAAGTTCCAGAGTGATTTTGTTACTTGTACATCAATGATATTAGATTATTGAAAGATTGATTACATTTGAACTATGCATTTATAAAAGCTGTTCTTTTTCCTGCTTATTTTCCTTTGTAAATAATATATTTAGCTTACAGAATCTTAAATTAACAGAATCTTAAATGAGCACCAAATTTAGGGTTGTGGAAACCTCTGGTAACTTGCAGTTTCCCTTTGCAAGATGCCCTTGTTTAGAGACCCTTCAAGTTGATGTGATTCACTTTTTCACTTGGGCTTAGGGAATTTTTTTGCTATATAAGGGAGACTGAAATTTTATTTTAACATTTGTTTTTCAATGAAATAAACCTCTCTTATATAAAGTATCAGTACACACTGCAACAGAGCCAGTTGTTGGCCACTTTAATGTAGAACTGCTTGTTAAAGTAGAAGGAACTTTGCACTTGGAGAATGGTGACTAAAGTATGAAAAGGGATGTATGCCGGGGGGCGCACATGGGGGTGAGTATGGCAAAAATAGAGCCTGGTTAGAGCCACAGGCCCGCTCTACTGATTGCATCTGGAAATTAGTGGTCATACTAGTGCTGGAAGAAAATAGATGTGAAAAGTAAGCATTTGTAATTGATTTGCATGCTCTGCAATGTTTTATTTTGGCCGCTGTGCTACAGATGCTTTAGAGCTCTGTCTTTCTAACTACAAAAATGCAAAGCTCTTGCCTTTTGACGTATGTTGGCTCAGCTGGCACAATTTCAAAGATGACTCTGCAGCTTCTCTCCATTTTGTAGCATGAGACGATAACTATCTCAACAGAAAGGTTTTCAAGATGATGTAGATAAATGTGGGTTTTGGAGAAAACATTGGGTATAAGCCCATGCTGTGCATATTTCTCTTTTTCTTGCCAGTGCACTCTCATATGCTTATGCACGTACTGAGAGTGCAAGCAAGAGTGAGTGTGTGTAGAGGAATGACAACATCCCTTGTGGAAGAAACTGTCAATAAAAGAAATATTAATATATTAACATATATCTAATATATATTATTATTTAATATATCATTATTGTTATATTAATATATAATTTAAAATAGAGGAAGAAAGAAATTGAAGAAAAAAGGTGACTGAAAGTCGGGGAGAGCTGCCAGGTACTTGTGCACAATCCATCTCTGGCTCTGGTGCAAGGACAATAAAACCGAATTTTCATTATGTATTATGTAGATGAGAGACAGGGCACAGAAAACCCGATAGTAGAAGCGTGTGTGAAACGGAAGGGTGTTGCATGTAACACTCCCATGGCATGAGGGTTATTTGAATAAAGAAATGAAACACGTCCAGAAGCCTCCAGTGAATCAGCCTGTAAGTGCATGAAGCTGCGCTTCCGTGAAAGACTGGTTTTTTTTTTTTCAGCAGAAACTGACTGGCACAGACAAATACATTTTGCTAGATTAGATGCAGTAACCAGAAGTAAACCTGGCAATCTCTTTTTCTTTCTTTCTTTCTTTCTTTCTTCTTTGAGTTTTCTATTTGCTGGGAGACTTAAACTATATTTAGCTGTCTCGATCCACATTGTCTGCATTTTTACAGCCCTTTCTGTTGGGGAAACACTTCTTGTGAAATGGGTGGGGTTTTCTTCAGTTCTGGAAGATGCTGATATTAAAAGTTTCAGTATTGTTGAAATGCTAAGGAGGCTTTATTCCTGTATGAGGGTTTAAGCACTCAGTTGTGATAATACTTAGAAGTTGAAATAGAAATTTTTATATAAAACTGTAAATAAGACTAAGACAACTTCCAAACGCTGAGTATATCAAGACAGTATTTTGGATTTGGTTTTTCTTACAGTCAACTCTTCCCATTTATGTACTTGTACCCCTCTTTTTAGTATTCCATCTCACTGCATTGATTATCCTTGGGCAGGAGATGGATATCATGAAACTTTCATATGTGGTAGAATTCATCTGCCCTAAACGCTAGCTCTCTAGCCTGGCATTGAGTTTTAGAAAGCTGGGAGGGTGCAAAATGCTTTTGGAGAGTCTGCTGCTCTGAATTGTTCAGAGGTGACTTTGTGTAAGTCCGAGTGCCAAACCTGGCAGCCAGACAGCAGTTCTGGTTTTATCTATCTAGACCTAGCTGGTGCCTTTATATAGACATCTTTATCTCCATAAACCTAAATTATCATTCAGTTCCACATTGTTTGAAGCATGGTGTAATGAAAAGGAATGTTAAAAGGGGAAAACTGAAAGCTGCTGACTGCTGGTGAATCCTCACTTAGACCAGCTTGAGACATTATGAACTTTTATATTTTTCTGCATCATAATTATTAGCGGTGATGGTACTGTGAATTTTTCTGCCATCCACTTTAAGGTATTTTGAAATTGTTGTCTGTGCTCTCTGTCCTAATGCCCAAGTTACAATTGTTTTGCACAGGGAGGCGTTTCCATGCTTAAACGTCTTCTCTTGGCAAATAGCTTGGTTTGCGTAATATTTTCTTCTCTTTAGAGGGAAACTGTGACATTATTCCACCAAACTGGAGAGGAAATGATTCAAGCCAGACACATGATCGTGTTAATTTTTTGTGCCAGCCAGGCAGTTACGGGGAGCTTGGAGATTGTCCAAAAGCTTTGCATCCGGGCCCGTCCCACCAGTGGTGCTTGTTCCAGCACATCTGTCCTTGAGAGGATGTTGCTTCTCTCCCTAATCCGGGGCAAGGGAATAGCGGTGGTTGGTCAGGAAACTGGTGCCTTCCGGTACCTGCCTGGCTCTCGGGGTAACTGATGCTGTTCTAGGTTGAGGCAGATAATGTTGCGGTCAAGAAGAAATTCTCTTTCAAAGAAACCTAAACTTTGATCCAGTCATCTGTATAACTGTACAGTTTCTGAGTCTGTTCTGCCTAGTGGTATCCAAATGAACTGAGAAGAAAAAAACATTCTTGAGGCGTGTGTCTCTTTCCGCTCTAAGACTGTAAATAGGTGTGCTGAAGATTTGGGTAGAATTTTCTAACTTTAGATACATTGCTGCCTTAAGACTAAAGGCCTTTTTTAATTCTGAAATTGGTGTTTCCTAAGTCATTGCCAGCTGTTTTTAATATAAGTGTTTTCTTTTACCTTGTTCTGTAGTTTGTACTTTGCCCAGAATTGAAAAAAAAAAAATACAATCCTATGCTGGGTTACATAGGTGAAGATGGTTTCTATTCCTCTTTCTGTACGTTTTGCCTTGTTGTGGCCTTTTCTTGTAGTTTCCTCAGTTTTCCACCTACAGAATATTGTGGTGCTTTATTTTGTTCTTTGAGATGTCTTTGCATTTTAGCTAATCAGATCTTTGAGAAATACTTCACTTATATCTCTGCATTTCTGTAAATGTTTATGGATTCATACTCTGATTTTCTTGATCCTCTTCTGCTAACTTAATTCCTTCCAGTTTTAATCTTTAAAAGGCTGGGAGCTGGAATAAGATGTGAAGTGTGGTACTAAAACCCTTTGTTGTTGTTTTGTGAGCCTACAGCAATCTCGGCAGAGGAAAAGAATGTTTTGTTATCACGAGTTCTTACCCATTAATCTTGCATGCAGTGTTTACAGGCCACAAAGCCTTATCAACCGGCTTCTTGGGTTTTAGCCCATTGTAAAGGCATATTAAATGCATGTTATATGGTGACCCCTCAAAATGTGATGAATCCAGATTAGATTGCCTTTCAAGCTTTATTAGAGTTTCTGTGCTGTTGACAGCTGCAACTAAGTAATGCAGTGGGGAGACAGAGACTTCTGTGTGAGAATAGTTCCTTGTCCTGCCTTGCTGCTTTTTTTTTCTGGAAGAGAAGAGTAACTCGTAGCTTGTTGGAGCAGGGACTTAGGGTCTATTTCTGCGACTTGCGAGTGCTGTAACCCAGTGAGCTACTGGCTGTTTTAGGGAGAAGGGAGCAGCAAGAGGGGTGTCGTTAAAAGATATGTAATCTTCTTTCTGGCTTCAACATCAGTACTATCCTGGAGCTGGGAAATGTGTCATAGAATCATAGAATTGTCTAGGTTGGAAAAGACCTTTAAGATCATCAAGTCCAACCGTTAAACTGGCACTGCCATCCCGCCACTAAACCATGTCTCTAAGCACCTCATCTACCCTTCTTTTAAATACCTCCAGGGACAGGGACTCGACCACCTCCCTGGGCAGCCCATCCCAGAGCCTGACAACCCTTTCTGTGAAGACATTTTTCCTAATGTCTAACCTAAACCTGCCCATGCGCAACTTCAGACCATTTCCCCTCATCCTATCGTCCATTCCCAGGGAGAAGAGGCCGACCCCCACCTCGCTACAGCCTCCTCTCAGGCAGTTGTAGAGGGCGATCAGGTCTCCCCACAGCCTCCTCTTCTCCAGACTAAACACCCCCAGTTCCCTCAGCCACTCCTCGTAAGACTTGTATTCCAGACCCCTCACCAGCTTTGCTGCTCTCCTCTGGACATGTTCCAGCAACACGTCTGTCTTGTAGTGACGGGCCCAAAACTGAACTTGGTATTTGAGGTGTGGCCTCACCAGCACTGAGTATAGGGGCACGATCACTTCCCTACTCCAGCTGGCCATGCCATTCCTGATACAAGCCAGGATGCCGTTGGCCCTCTTGGCCACCTGGGCACACTGCTGGCTCACGTTCAGCTGGCTGTCAACCAACACCCCCCAGGTCCTTTTCTGCTGGGCAGCTTTCCAGCCACTCTTTGCCAAGCCTGTAGCATTGCATGGGGTTGTTGTGACCAAAGTACAGGATCTGGCACTTGGCCTTGTTGAACCTCATACAGTTGGCCTTGGCCCTTCGATCCAGCCTGTCCAGGTCCCTCTGCAGAGCCCTCCTCCCCTCGAGTAGATAGACAGTCCCACCCAGTTTGGTGTCATCTGCAAACTTACTGAGGGGACACTCAATCCCCTCATCCAGGTCATTGGTAACAAAAGCTTAATCTAAACTCATTTCAAAAGGTTTCAGGTTTGAGAAATCCGGCTTTCCAAAGAGAGGGGATGTTGTCAGGAAAAATTTCAGTGAACTCAACTGTCATTTACTGTTTGGCACTTCATATCCTTCTAGAAGGTCTGTGTTTTCAGTCCGTTGTTTCTGCCTTAATTATAAGCAGGCCTTCTTTTAAATGTGTGGTTATTACCTGATTTTTTTTTTTTTTTTATTCTGTTTTGACATGATACCACAGTTTATGAGAAACGCTGTTGTTCAATTTAAGCTGCCTCTGTGATGGTAACCGGTTTGCCTGTTTGTTTCATCCTTTCTCCTGCTGAGTTGTTTTTCTTCTAGACCTGGTCAAGCCATGACATTTGATGCTAGCTGATGTTACCTGTTAGCCAAAAAAAATGTGATATTTTTGTGCCTTAAAAATGTTAAACTATGTCAACCTGTTAACCTTAGAGAGCAGAACGTGACTTAAAATCAGAGAAATGAACATTGAGTTACATGAAAAAATGTCATGTTACAGTGATAGCAAGGACTGCCCTGGCAGTTGTCTTGACTTGACGGCTGCTTATTCATTGATCTGGAAGTGAGTCAAGCTAAAGTTGGTCGACTTTCCATTCCTAGCCCAAATACTTGCTGATACTTGAACCAGCTCTCAGTCAAGGTGATGGGAATTTTTCTAGTGACTAATGTGCCAGTTTGAAGGTTTCTGCAATGCTTTATTTAAGGAACTGTCACAGTGGTTGTACTAAAATGCCGCCCGTTCTTCCCTCACTGTCCCTCACTGAGTTCACTCAACCATTCATTCTGTCACGGCTTCTGCATCTTGCACTATTTTGCCTTCTCTTATTTCACCGCACCTGCTTGCAGATTAAATTTTTCTTAAGATGTGTGTGCGCGTAGTGGAAACATAAACTTTATTGAGTACATTGAACATTGCAGTGAGTTAGCACTGGGTTACCGTGTGGGTCATGAAACCAAGCAAAAGAAAGATGTGACATGCAACGTACTCGGTCTGCAATGCAAACATGTAGTATAACAAATTTAATTATATTCCTAGAATTGTTCTTTAACTTAATATGATTTGGATTTCTGTATTAAACAAAACCCCAGCTATCTCAAGTAGAACAAAAAGATTAAAAAATTATGCTATCTTAGATTTACTTATATAACTTGGATTAAACTGGGGGTTTTGTGTGTATTATTGATACTCTTTTATGCACAGGTGTTCAATAGCAATATCAACTATTTTGAGATGTTGGGTTAATGAGATCAAATCACTGCTGAATGGATCACGCACAGGTGGTGACATAATCCTGAAGTCAGATAACTATGGTGGAACTAAGCCTGTATATTAGTAACACACGAATGCTTTATGTACAGTTGTCTTTCCTGGAAATGAGTTTTAAAAATAATGTAATTGTGGAATGCTAGACATGTCCTGAAGTAGCCAATGGCAGAAAACCAGATGAAAGGGCCAAGACAATAATGTGTGTTTCTAGAAGGAACTGTTCCGTACAGTGTGACATTAGCCAGGTGTAAGAGAGAGGAGCTCTGTGGCTCCTGTTGTCTAAACTGATAATGCAGGAAAAACTGGCATTTCTGGAGCAGTAGCTATTTCTTCTGTCAGGTGTACTCAATGATATATCAACCTATAAAGAGAACACGTTTTTAAATACTGAATGATGAAAAGTGACTAAAAATGGTATATTTTGGCATAGGATTTACTCCTTTCTGATGACACATCATATTTGTTCTGCTAATAATGTTTCTAAGAATCTTATGTGCTTGATGTTAAATCTGAAAGTAGAGATAAGTTCTTAATTGCGTGTATGGTCATGAGTGAAGGGAAGGTGATAAAATGCCCTTAATTTTATTGACGGAACCCTTTCCTTGTACAAGACAGGCTGTGGAGAGTGTTGGTCGTGTTGCTGGAACCCAGTTAATGGTTTTGCTGGTGACTGGCCTCCCTTTGCCATATCAGCACTGGCTGCATTTCTGAGGGCTGTATAATACTAATATTTTTGATGCAGTAAACAACTGTGATGGCATGGACAGAGGGAGCAGGTCTGACTGCTAAACTATTGCGTTCATTCTCTCTAAGAGAGGAGACATTTACAGCCTTAGAGCACACAGGGTTTGTGGCTCGTCAGCAACACCATAGTTAATGCTGTCTCAGGAGTTTGACCTTAGTACAAGAGTTTCAGTACCATGTTCCTTTAACCTCAGCTCATCTGTGCCTGAGCCATTTACGATTAAGTAATTAAGCCATATTTTGAAAAACAAGCAAAACTAAATTACTTTCTTATCCATTGTTGAAGCGTTGGTAGCAACACGTGTTTAATTCAGCCATACCTTTTGATTGTAGGGGGAAGAGTAAAAACGTGGAAACGGAGATGGTTTATTCTGACTGATAATTGCCTGTATTACTTTGAATACACAACAGTGAGTATATATTACAGTGAACTTTGTTTGTGATCAAGATACCTAAGTGGCTAATAATGTGATATTTTCCTAATTTTTTAGGACAAAGAACCTAGAGGAATTATTCCGTTAGAAAATCTTAGCATAAGAGAAGTTGAAGACCCTAGAAAACCAGTAAGATATTTTCGTAATATTTCTTTTAAATGAAGTAAACTGTATAAAACTTAGTTGTAGTGTTAACTGAAGGTGTTTGTCAGTTTTGTTGGTTTGTTTTTTTTCAATTTGTTTCATTTCTACCCTCCAGAACTGCTTTGAGCTCTATAACCCCAGTCATAAAGGTCAAGTAATTAAAGCATGTAAGACTGAAGCTGATGGTAGAGTGGTGGAAGGCAACCATGTAGTGTATAGAATATCTGCTCCCACCCCAGAAGAAAAAGAAGAGTGGATTAAATCTATCAAGTGAGTTTAAAGACTTAAATGCCGTTTAGAAGTTAAGTCTAAGCTCTTTTTGGAGTAAGATACTAAGAAAATTTGTATTCCAACTTGTTTGAAGAATTCTGATGTGGCAATGTCCTCTAGGATTAATGACAAGCTACGTGGGGTTGACAGATCAAGATACAAATCTCCTGTTACTGTCTGGTCCTAAGGAAATAGTGCTACTAACTCAAATGAACAAAATGTGGATTATTTTTTTAAGCAAATGTGAAGCCTTGTGTGAATTGTCTTTAACCTTAATTTTATTAGATTCTTAGCTAATAATTAACTTTAGTGACATCTATCTTAAGCATGCTCACAGTGCAGCTTTAAACTTTCACAGCTTGACTTTATTTTGTAAGGTTTATAAAGCAGACTGACACTTAAAGAAATAATGGTCAAGATGAAGGTATGAACTCTTAACAAATCACAGCTGAATAACATTTTTCTAAAGCAATTTTGTGATGCTTAGAAGTGAACCATCCATTACCTTATTAAGAATGTTGAGTCATCCACAGGGAAGAGAGAACAAAATAGTTTTAGTTTTTGAAAACAGACATTTGTTAACCAAACCGATGATTCTTTTTTTCTCTTCTAGAGCAAGTATCAGCAGGGATCCCTTTTATGATATGCTGGCAACAAGGAAACGAAGAATTGCAAATAAGAAATAGAACATGATCAGCAACTTGTGTACCTGCATCAACCTATAAATGAGCATACAGTTGAGTGATAATGTAAAAATTGGACAAACTGAATGAAGACAATAACTGTAAATTTTATATATATACACTTTACTATGATATAACAACTTGGCAAGACCTTTCAGGGTAAATAGTTATTGGCATATCATTTGACGTAACCTTCAAATCCCAGATGATTATTATACTGGAACTTAATTCAACTGAAAACATGGAAGCCTTGTTTTCACTTCTATTAGTTAGAACTCCAGTTTATTTGGTTTGGGAGGGAAGGAATTCAAGGCTAATAGTAAAATGTCCTATACCTGTTCTTTGAGCACATTTCCCATAGAAGGAGGAGTGATTATAGGACTTTCATCCCTCACTAAAATGCAGCACCAAAAGTGGAGTACAGCGTGATCTAGCACTTAATTTTTCTGTAAGCAGAAAACACACATCTCACTATCAGTTTTCAAGTCTTGTGTGTTTTGCAGTAAATGAACAGCTGAGTAAAGCTTTTGTTTAGGATTATCTCTCCTACCTTTATGGAAACAGCTTTTCTTCTTTTTCAGAACTGCAACTCAGCGGTAGACTGGCAGCTACGTAGTTAACTAGTTGTGCCAAAGGGTTTGGTTGATACACACAGAAATGTATGCGGGTCCCAACAGCAAAGGTTTGAGTCTGTAGACATGACACTAAGTACAGATGTGGTTTGATATTTGCCGGTAGGCTAAAACTCATTCCTGTCTGCTCATACACTCACAATAAGCAGTAAGGCTTAATGACTGGTTTAATCTGCTTTTTATATAGTAACATCCTTCTTATGTTTTAGATAGGTTGTAGTTTAATTAACACTAAGTTACTACTAAAGGAGTAAGATGACAGGGCTTGCATGAGTTTAGGCTTTGGATGTGAAAATACCCCCAAATAATTTCACACGCATTTAATGTTTTTAAAGGGAAAAACCAGGAAGGTAAAATCTTTCTGTAAGATACAGCCCTCGATAGCTAAGCAAGCAGGGTTATTCCTTTGCTTGATAACAAACTTTGGACATATAGAAAAGTTTGGTATTTTTATTGCATTCTTAAAGGCGATTTTTCAGACCTGTGCTTCAGCAGTTGAAATTGAAAAAATAAATAGACATCCTTATTTTTACATAAAAAATAAAATCTTAAACATCTATTACTTAGTGCAGCTAAACTCCCCCACAAGCATATGTCTCTTTTGGGGTTTTTTTTGTAGTTTGTGAAGATCTTTCTGTGGTCCTACTGATAGTCTTTTAGTAACATGTAAACTGCTATGACAGATTTTACTACGCCACTTTTCCATTTATAGTGAGGGGAAAAGTGGCTTTTTGGACCCTACTGCTTCTGTTAGTACTCATTTTTTCACAAACTTGTTGAACCTGAGCCGTGCCTACTGTGCCAATGAATGCTTTGGAGACCCAGTGCTTTGTCAAAGCGATTTTTCTTGTTGGAGTTACAGAAGCATCTCTGGATAGGTGATAGGGAACTGCTGCACTGGCAACAGCACAGACTTAGTGAGTTGATCTGTTTCAAATCTCCTTTTAACTGTAAGGGAGAGTCTGTTTCATTGTTCCTGTCTTACTAATTTGCCTTGTTTTGCATGGAGTGTCAGCCTGTGAATGTTTTGCCTTATTGCATGTTTGCCAAAAGGGCCGAGAGGAAAAGAACAAAGTAAACTTTTCTACACCTTAGATTTTCCCCAGAGTGTGTGGACTTGCAGTCTGCTTGGACAAATGTTCAAATCTGAGTACTTTTGAGGGAGTAAAACCCAAAGGAGGTAGAATCCTTGAATAAGTAGCAGTGTGGGGACATCTTTGCTTAATGGAACACATTTAAACTCTTTATAGAAACGAAGTCAAGCAGTATGTCCTGTGTTTGCAAAGCAGCGTGATTATGGAGCTGCTAAGGTCACTTGGTTTGAGTCTTCTGTTCTGCAACTTCAAGTTTTGTTTTCAAGTAATGCATACATCAGTTTTAGCTTTGGACAAATAGATTTGTAATGCAGATAGTGATAAGCCAGAATCAGTGGTACTAACAAGTGTAAAGGTGAAAACAGCAAATAAAATACTTCTGGAGAAATGTGAGATTACAGAAGCATTAATAAGCAGTGAAGCACTTTTGTATCGTTACCTTCTGAAACATCACCTTCAAGAAAATCTGTTTATTTAACCGGGTGAGGAGTCTGCCTTTAAGCATGAAGGAAATGCCTTGAGAGTTCATTTGCTGTATTTAGTTTGAAGTTCTTATATCCAACAGAAATAATTATTTAGAGTAACATGTAACTGAGGCTATTATAGCAGGAAATATATTATTTCTTAGCATTAAAATGCGACATCTTAAACAGCTATTTGTGGTGCTCAATATATCTATTTAATTTACCAAAGCTAATGGAATAGCATTCTTGTGTGTGATAATATTTGATTTCAAATATTTTTTGTAACAGTATTAACAGGGAGTGAAACTGGCCCAAAATTTCCACTGGCCACGAGGCCAGTAAAACAAAGTGGCTTGTGAAAATTTTGGCCAAAAGAGGTACTATCCATGAGGGTGAAGAAAAATCTCTCAACCTTTCCCTTTTTTATTGGGCTTCAAGTCCAGGGGTAGCTACTAAGGCTAGCTGCTCGGTGGCCTAAAGCAGGATCTGTTACGGTTTGGCCACGCTGAGGAGAAGTCCTGTGGGGACAACAGACTTCTCCCTTCCTGTTGCACTGAAACTTGCATAATCCTTCAACTCTTTGTTTTTAACGTTGCCCGTTACAACTACAGGGGCGAGCAAGAGCCACTGCTGCTTCTGCCACGTCCATGGCATCGCTCAGTGCCTAAACCATTTGGCCACTACCATCAGCCACGGCGCCAGTGCAATCTAGGGAGAGAACTGTATATAATAGTTAAGCTCAGCTGGACTGACTTAAATTTTACAATATTCTGACAAAATAAGCTCTACATCACTTAACATTTTGAACCGTTTTAAACTGGTACAAAACTGAACCTTTGTAAACTGAGCAGCATTTATAATGCTTCATATATAAAACCAATGCATATTTTTAAGATTTATTACATATCTATGTAGATATGCTTGCTGGAAAAGCTAGGTCTGTTGTAGACCAAATGCTACAAATTAAAGACTTGTGGCTTACCAGTTTCATTTCTATATTTTCTTGGAAAATGTTTCTAGCTAGAGTTTAAATATAAAATGTAAATACTGTACAGATATGTATTGATATAAGTATTACTTGGTGTACACAAGTGATTTGCATGACAAATACTCTGTATCAATCATTGTTAAAAATGTGATGTTCTATGTAAATCCACTGCGATATTAATGTTTTCATTTATCATTAAGACCTGTTGCTTAAATCTGGAGATTTTTCTCAAAAATAAAGTGTGAAACTGTACTATGGTAGAGCTCCTCAGGGAGCAATTTCTGGTTTTCTTTTTTGAGAGAGAGTTAAGGTTCAATTTTATAGCATATGGTTGTAACTACTCTTCTAAGTAAAAGGCCTCTCTTT